AATTTCATCTTGATTCGAAGTACACAAGGAAGCTATATTAGCAACATCAACCGAAGAAACTGCACTACCTGTAGTGATCCCACTCTCTTTACCGTCACGTTTATTATTGTCCACAATGATGTTCTGAGTATTCATAGTTAATGACCAGTTGCAAGATAGTTGGCATGCAGGCTTTAAAGCTATGCTACCACTTTCACTAACACTATCAATGTTGCTATTGTTACTTCGACCAGTATACAACTGTCCATCCGTTGACCGTAAACAAACATCAGCAGGACGCGCTAAGCTGCTAATATCTTCCGCCTTAATATCATGATGCTCTATATAACTAGATATAGTAGCCTGCAGACATCCTGATTGCTCAGCAATATGAAGTGCCGTGTCACTATTTACACTTGTTGTCCTAGAATCAACTCTAGGTGCCGTTCTATAATTTACCCTACGTGAAGGGTTCCGAACATAGGCTTTATTCCGTCCAGCCAATCCTGCTTTGTCCTTACTCATATTTACTGAACTCACTAACCTCTGTTTGCTCGAATCCAAATAACCGTTCCAGGCTTTTCGAGCAGTTAAGAGGCTTTTATCATCACACACCTCGGATCCATCTTGATGCCTACACTTTTCGCCTTTTTCTTTCTTTTCCATACTTAAAAAGGCCATCTTATCTGTTACACAAACCGGCTTCTTACTGGGATACTCATCAAGAGGATTTAAATCATCGCGGTCACATACTCGGCTTTCAACAGCGTATATTTTTCTGATACAATTGACAACTCTCTTATATTCCGGGTATGGGTTAGGTGTAAACGAAGAATCCTCATGTCTCGCACGCAGATCACTAATAGCTTCCGTACTATGTCCTGTTTTAGTACCATTAGCTAATCTTTCGAACCTACTACTAGCTATCTTAGCACGAGACATAATAAAATCCGTCAATTCATTGAAATTAGGTTCTCTTTCCTCTTCGTCCCACTTGATTCCCAGCTCTGCCCAACTGGGCTTGCATTCGATGAGGTAAGAGCCTAACTATTCGTTCTAAAGTAACCAGGGAATTGAGTTCCGTTGTACAATTTAACTGTTCTAAGGTTAGAGCCACATTCTGCATTTTAATCGCCAAATTCGTCAATTCTTCAGGATCATTATAATCTGCATTCCCGGTTCTAAACAAGTCCTCTAAGGTTTCACGGGCTATCACATGCGACTGTCCAAAGAGCTGTTTTAAAATAGCCTTAGCTCTCTTATATCCCACTTGTGGACCCATTATAAGACAACCTTCAATCGCATTTTTTGCCTTTCCTTTACAGTAGTGAATTAAATATAATAAACGCAAATTGTCATCCTTTACTCTAGGTTCTATAAACGATTCAAATTGCCAAATAAATCTAAAGTAGTCGCGAGGTTTGCCTTCAAAGAATGAAAGTTCAACCTTAGGTAGTTCTAAGCCTACTATCGGTGTCCTAAGCATCTGATCCGTCTCTCGTACCTTAGAACTCTCACTTAATCCTGGTTCCTTAATGCCTGCCAAAGGTGACTTACAATAATAAGTACCAAACATAACATCATCACGAATACAGTGGGGACCCATTAAACAAGAATCATCAACGACTTGCCAAGCATTTGGGGATTCTTCGAGCTCTTCCACCCTCTTCGTGTTTGTTTTCTTGCGGTTGCTCATGTTTAAGTGAAGTTCAACGGAAGATAAATAACAAATACAAAATATAGGAATTCCACCGGTAAGTTCTCAATAATAAATATCCAAAATCAGAAAATCGTTTTCCAAAATACAGTTTGATCACAAAAATACGATAAGTAATCCAAAGTTCTTCTCCCAAGAAGTTTAATATTATAAACGATTAAAATTCCAAATGTTTCCTTATTCTTCTTAATAATCAGACTGTAGTAGGCTTGTTCTCCAAACTTGTTAGACTGTAATTGGTCTTCTAATCAAAAGTCAGACTGTAGATGGATTTTCTACCGTAGCAGTTCAATTTGTTTCCAGTAAGTGTAAGTCGAACGCACCCCTCTCCTAGTCCAATATCAGAACACAATAATTCTAGGAGAAAGTGGTCTATATTATGTTAAAATGGAAATACAAACCAATACCTGACTTTTGATACACTTTCCAAGTCCCAATTACTCTGATGAGTATCCCAGTTCAAAAAGAATAAGTGATGCTAGATCCAACCGCAACAGTATCAAATCCAAATATGGCTGTAGCCATATTATATCAAATTTAAACAACATATGTACAGTTCAGAAGCAAACATAAAAACTTCAATATAAGTACAAAATATAGAAATAATAACAATATACAATGATAAAATCTCAAATTGGAATCAAATAAAATACCAAAATGTCAACAGAAAAAGTCCGTCATGTCATAACAAAAATATATAAACATGGAGGGATTTTCCAAAAAACAAAACATTCAAAAAAGATTTTACACCGGCCCGCAAAATCCCTCCATGCAAAATAGGCAAGCGTTTAATGACACTTCAATTTACGGTTCCCTCTGATCCCCTATTCCACACCGGAAGAACGAGTAGGACTTACAGCAGTACGCCTACCCGCCCTCCGACATGGATATGACCTATCAAGCTAACTAGGTACCTATACCTTCCCATCAAGCCCTTGATTCCCCTATCTATCGTAGCATGACCTAACGGTAGTATAAACCTTATCCAATTAACCCATATGAACATGTACAACACGTTGCAAAGCTGGTCATATCCTATACATGTCTTGGGGATGAGTCGTCATTCCACCACCACTTGCTCCGGACAGCCGATACAATAAAGTCCGTGATACTGACTTATCAACAGAAGTTCTTGACCCATAGATAATATGCAAGGGTGGGATCTCCAATTTTGATATTTCCTCGTCTCCCGAAGACTTTAAATAGCATAACATGGGACCAATATTTATCTCCCCATCTCCTGATACAGAGGAGGTTTGGTCAGCATTCGTCATCGTCGGTAACTCATTTGTCACATCAGTGACGTTTTCATCACAAACTAGCATCAGCTGTAAAACCGAAGTATTGCGTAATTGCAAGATAGATGAATTCTTACTTGAAATCGTGTTTCGCTGTGATAAGGGCCACTGCCCTAATTATAAGTTATGGTCTCGTCTCATTATTTAGGAATAACCCGACTTTTTTGTATGTTGTAGCAAAATAGTGTCTTTGAACAGGCTGGTCATTTATTTATTGTGCAAGCCTACTTTACTAATATATAATCCTCTTTCGACCTTAGTAATTTGGCGAATATCTCTAAGGCTACTTCGGCGTAGTAGGGAGTGTGGAAGAAAGTTAGAGGCGGCCATACCAAAACATGACACAAATCCATTAAGTCACTAATAACTGGGCTGAGTCATGTTGGTAGATGTAGACTACCCGGCAGTGGTTCGTTAGACGATAGTAACTGGTGGTTAGGGACCTTGAATGTCATGGCTCAAAACAGTTCGCAGTTGTGCAGGTGTATCCACTCTTTGTTTTCTCCCAAATCATAACCTTCTGAATTCCTTGTCACCCCTATATTTCTCTTTCTAAATTTATTTCACTGGGATGTACTTCTTGAATAATAATATCTTCGAACCCTAATCTTCTCCATTACCGCTAATACCTCTACAACAACTACCACTATGAGATTTGAACTAATAGTTGTGTCTCTGTGCTAATGTGGTATGGCAACCTGAACTTGTGTACTTACACACGAAGTTCTACGTTGTAAATGACTGACAGAAGGCCACTTTGGTGTCTTTTAAGGGTCGCCTATAAATTATAGTTTGACCAAATAATTAATATTGATTCAGTGAAATTTTGCCCCTGCTCACGTATTTCATTCCTTTACCTACCGGCCTTTATTTCATTAGTGCTTCATAAACTAAAGACTAAAGCTATCTAAGTGCTCACACTTTCTAGATGTGTACTCAATGAACTGAGTACTCATGTGATGTAGTCACTAAGTTTAGTGTACAACAATTAAGTCTTGTATTCAATCTCCTCTCGGTTTGGAAAGCGAAAAACCGTAGTTTTGAGACTCGAGGGTGAGATATATAACAATGCTGAATGCAGACGCACTCATTGATATACTTCCATCGCCGCCACTGCAACATCTTCAGCCTTGTCATTTAGGGTCTCTAGGCATAGATAATGTGCAAACTTCAAGCAAGAACACTGAATCTCTAAGCTAAGGCTAGTCCAACAGTTGGGGAATTTGTGGGTTGACGAAAAGTTTTTCAGTCAGTTACAACGTACAACTTGGTACATACGTACATAAGTTCGTGTTACCATACCACATTAGCACAGAGACGTAATTGTCAGTTCGAATCCCAAAATGGTAGAGATAGCAGACGTATTAGTGACTACAAGTTCATCTTCCACCCTGAACTGTTTTTCAACATGAGATCACTCCAACTACCACTCTACATTTGTTAGGTGATTGATGCTCGTGTGTCTCATGTACATCGAACACCTCACTCGACGAATGCGTCCAGCCTCATCAGCTGACTCATCATATTTGCCTAGAACCGACCCACCAACTTGAGCTTTGTGCACCTAGAGGTCCACTGTTAGTGATCCGAAGAAATTTCTAATAGGATATTACCAACCCTTACACGCCTTCCACTTTTATGGGCGAGGTTGTCGAAAGCAAACTATACGGTGAAATCAATCAAACTTCGAAAAGCGGCTCTTCGAATATAGCACACAATCGAAACACAATTACAGATTGCGTATAGTCTTCGAAATGTATCTAAGAGCTCAGTAAGACCTATCAATATTTGCGTTTCGTCAGTGTTCTTTAAACGAATAAAATATTTTTGTAAAATTAGTAGACCTATGTATAAACACAAAATTTGTCATGCGCCTGCACAGTAAAGTGTGCGAAATTTTACCGCGCTGTGTATCAAAAGTTGCCACAATCAACATAATACTTGTTGGTTAATTAGTTTATAATTACTTGTTTGTGTTTGATATGCATATTTCTATTCTCTTTCAGATGGTTTGCTTATGATCATATCTGTTAAGGATTGTTTTTATTTGGTGACGAATTTTAGAGCAACGCTTCATCATAAAAGTAACCTTTGCCGAGAGAAATGATGGCGTTACGGCGCCTAACATCTGTTATGTTGTGTCTAAGACCACCGACTGTATGTTCAAGTGGAACTAGATTATTGTCTACGAATTATAGACTATCAGGACTGTCTGCATCCTCTAATTTGTACCTGATAGGGTCAAAGTCGCACACCTTATACAACTCCGCTTTCACACCTAAAATCTACGTCCCATGCCGATACAGCACCATATTCAGCGATTATCCTGGTGATATGTTATGGGAAGGAGTAACGGGACCAAAAGGAGGCTCAAAAAAACGTGCGAGAGGAAAACGCAGAGTCACAAGACAAAAAATAGATCTCCATAAGGGACAGAAAGTGGGAGTTGGAAAAGCCTGCATGCAGTGGCCTGGTCTTAATACTTCTTTATCCTCATCTATCAAAAAAGTAAATACGTAATTACTGAGTATCATTTTATAAATATTTGACTTTACGTGTAACCTAATCGCAAAAATTCGTTATCTTGATTGGCTCCTGGTTACTTGTTAGCAAATACTATTGTTGAGTTAATCTGGTTGTGTTTACACTTTGCTCGTCAACCAGGCACAAGCTGTTAATCATTTTTCGAAACCAAATACTGTTTCATTAAAACGATCAATACCAACTCTGGTTTAATACCTTTAACAGGTTATTGCTGCTTGTAATCTAACTTTTATGTTCTTAAATACCCATCAAGTTTCAAAATATCGCATTTTAAAGTGCGGTAGCTTCTTGCTGAATAGTTGTCTACTAAACAACACAAAATTCGAATCATGGTGTAAATTCAAATCCAGTTAGTCATGATCGATGCAGCGTCTAAATCAAATATGTGTCAACCGAAGTTTCTAAAATTCAAATGATTTGAACTACAAATAACATGCTAGTTATTAACTTTCATCTTCATCTCGCTTCACAATGTTGAAAGAAGGGTAAGGGTAGCTAAACCAAGATGTAGCATCAGTTCATGTTGGTTTTAGCCATGCTAGTAGATCCAGACTATCTGGGGAATCGTCGAGTGACAAGGGCAATAAGTGACAGTTCAGAATACTTCACAGTGATACAGGTACATTCATTCTTGGATTCCGATATTCTTCCAATATACACATTTCCACTCTGTCATTTTGAACTGGATTTCCAATGCTCAGCCTTTTTAGTTATCACTGCCATTACATTATTCCGATCTGTTCATTTTGTTATTTTCATTTCATTGTGCTAATGTGGTATGGGAACTTTGGCCGATGCACATTTGTACCAGGCTGTATGTTGACAATGTTGTTTGCAAATATCATGTCCTCTTTGTGTAACTGCTACATCAACATAGTGATTGCACTTCCCTGTCGTATATAATTTCGTAGTTTTGAGATCTACTAGTAGATATAGTGAATTTTACATATGTAATAAATTATTCAGATAAACCTAAATAGTTCACAGCATGGAACATGCAGTGATTTATCTTAGCTAAAACCAACGCAATTGCTATGAATGATAAAATACAGTGTCCAATTGACTACGAAACAGAAATGTCTTGAAATTGTAGTCAACAGAGTTCCTGTTTATCTTCAATTCAATACTACATTGCTTTCTCGAAAGACGTTAAACAATCGTGATTTCCCAACGTTTAATAATATTTCTTTCTTTGCCATGAGTGCTTCTCTTGATTGACAATATTTAGTCGATAAAATCCAACATAAACTTTCCATCTATGATACTTGAAAAATCATCATAATTTTGGTTTGCTTGAAATCGTATGTTGACGGAAGTATTCTAAATAAAATTGATCAATCAAATATAATAAAGATGATTGGCGAATAAGATGTCTCAGATCTAAAGAATACATCAGGGCCATTCATACTAGTCTTAGGCAGCATACAAGAAACTCTTCTTCTACTGATTTCATCTGTCTTTTAAGGATTCCAACTGAAAGTCTCTATATCTTTACATCGTTTTTAGAAGAGACACATCATTGTAGATAAGTGCTTTGTTTTGCTTGAATATGTGTGACACATCATAAGTGTTTTAAGCTCATACTTTTACCCCTCATTTACATACTTTACTCACAACTCGTGCTTAGCTCATTCGGTAATTCAATCATACATGGACACTGTCAAAAACAGCTTTGATCGAATATTTATAATGAATTTTTTTCGATTTTAATAGTCATGCTTTATAGTTGTAAAATAAAACAAACTTTTGTGTATTTTATTCATCTTTTGAATAATCCACTAGCAAACCAGAGATAGGTGTGAATGTACTCACTTTACTCTTGTTAACAATATTAATTTAAACGAAGTAAATAGTACATTTAAGTAAAATAAATTAATAGAAATTGATGGATACCTATTCTTACTCATGAGAAGTTTATTTAATGGAAATTACATTTTCCCCCTAATCATTCGTACCGTCCTGATTTAATTGTGATTTCTTAGTTAATTGTTTAATTTTGTTCAGGACAAACTAGAACCCACTTTTTTCCCATTGTGTGTGTGTGTGTAAAAATTGGAAATCAACTATAATAGAATCTTTGTTTACTTCATCTCCAAGTCATATGTATTGTAATTTATATGATTTTTTGGATTATATTTATTTTAACTAACGAGGTAACGTTTTAAAAATACCAATGTGCTTAAAAAATTATCGACTACCTGGTTGGGGTCCGCGAGATGATAATAATCGATGGTTAGAGACCTTGAATGACATGGCTCAAAATCGTTCGCAATGGCGCCGGTGCATTTATTCTCTGTGTTCTCTCAAATCCTAATCTTCCGGGTTCTTCAACACCTCTAGTCTTGCCTTTCTAAACTTTTCTCATTTAGTCGTACTTCTTGAATAATATCTTCTAACCGTAACCTCTCCGATTACTTCTAATTCCCTTACTACCTCTACTACTATTGGATTTGAAATGACAATTATATCTCTGTGCTGATGTGGTATGGCAACATGAACTGATGTACTTACGTACCAAGTTCTACGTTGCATCTGACTGACTGACTGAAAATTGACTAATCTTAGGAGGAATTTCTGCAGTTTCAGTGGTATGTTGTAACCAATAAATTTCAGCCTTACTGACAGTTGAATAGATATAATTAATTGAATCACTTGATGGTCATCGGCTAGTAGCAATTGTCTCGCTATTTCTAATTCACCGTACTCACTGCAGTGTCTATTCGTCCTAGGTTTGATTGCTCTTTCGCTCGTGAACACACAATGTTTTGAAGTTCCGAACTAGGTTAGCATCTATTTTTATTAATTGTTTGAATCTTCCCCGTTGTTGTTGTTGTTGTTGAGGGCTGCGATTAATCAGTCTCTTTTTTTGACATGTGTGCAACTTGTGCGGATTGCCTTGATGTTTTTTTGTAAAATTACAAAACGATAGTTTCTTGTTTAGCCTACATTGTATGATTTAGGACATAGTCAAGGATGATTATAGTAGGACACTAAACTTAACAAACGAACCAGTCAGGTATATGCTAGTGTTTTTTTATTTTTCGTGAAGATAATCCATTAGTTTGACTACAGATCATTCTTGCATCTTAGCTAATGTCAGCTGGTAAGTAGAACCTTAGAGTTAACTCCTAAACTTGATTTCTGACCCCGGGATTTACTCAACTTCAAACCATAACTCGATCGCTTGTCTTTTACCTTGATCTTTCTTCGTTGACCATAATAAATCATTATTTGAATGTTTGGTAATCATATCAAAACTTTTCGTTTTGAAACGGGACGCTTTTTTTATTGATTTTTAGTCATTCTAGGTCGTTAGTATGGTTTACTTTTATCTTCTTTTACACAGGGTGACTATAATGAAAAGTATTTTGAAAGGCTAGAAGCGCTTCGTAACAAATCTGCTGTGAAAAAGAAACGCATGAAATTAGCCCCTTTACAACGTGGTTGGACAGGGAAACGAATGGGAGGACAATCTGTTGGTCCACCTACACCAAATCATCCGGATTTTGACTGTCGTGTCATCGAGTCGAAAGCAAGTTTATTTTTAAAATATAAATAATGATATGTATATATTAATCGAAATCATGAGTCCATCATTGCTAGAGCTCTAGCAAAACCTTAGATTGAACGAAGTTAGAAATTGACACCGTTGGGTGCCGGTCCAGTGATTTTGAGGTTAAGCGTTTGCTCGGGAGACAGTTCCTAGGTCCGATTGTGACCGATTTGGTCGCAGTTGCTGTTACAAGTGTAAGGGTAGATGTCACTTCCCGGCTGCCCACAACCTTTAAGGTTGTTTCTTAAGGAACCAGAAAAGCAATTTAGATTAGTGTTGGTTTTAGCGAACTGGTAGCATGACTGCAGAGCCCAACGGACAACTGCTTGAAGCCGGTCACTTACGGCCCTTTTATGGGAAGCCTTTAGAGTGTTAGTTTCGTTCTTCAAAATGCCTTACCGACAGAGACAGAAATCCGTAGAGTAACGTGAGGTGTGACATTTTTAGGGTCGACATTTTTTTTAACCCCTTTCTTCCTTGTGAGAAGGCAGCATCGTTGTAGATGCTGGTTGTCCCAGGGAAACAACTTACTGCTGTCACACCCCTCTGCAGTCAGCATTACGACTTCGCCGTCAGACCTTGAGTTGCTGTTTTTAGTCTCACCGTTCTCCAATCGACCTGCCTGGTATGGTATAACCTACAGGAACGTATGTTTCAGCCAATATAGCCCGGTTGGGTCATGACGATAGGCAAGCCCCACCACCACCACATCAAGGTAGCAGGCACGGTCAACACTCGATAAGTTAAATAAAAGCCCACAATCAGTGCAATACTCAAATACCATAGAATAAATATTGAATAAATACAGCAATAAAAATGTCTGCATAATAATTGCCCATCAAAATGTCTCCATTTTCACCCACTTGTTATCGACCTATGTCTAACACACTAGGCTTATGAGAATTTATTTTCAAGCTGTAATTTCAGTCGGGATTTTATTTATTTAATTACTTTTAAAATGTTAAACTGATTAGTTTTTTGCCGCGATAAAATATACGAAAATTATTAAGTTATTCGTTTTTTTTGTTTATACTACTGGATAGGATTTTGTTCAAGATGTAATCGCTAAACAGTATTATCTATAATTGTGTTGTCACGCTTAGCAACAACTAAGTCCTGTCGATCAATGAGTCTAATTAAAAAATTCCAGGTTAAATAAAAAGATACAGTAGTTCAGCTTACCTTTAGTTTTATTCATATATGAACTAATGAAAGATAATGACATTGTTTGATTTACTCTTTAAGGGTATAAGATTTTTCAGTATGTTATCTAATTTTCCATATATATATACAATCTAGCTACAGATGTTTGAATAGATTTAATTTTAATTGTCTTACTTTACTTACTTACTTACGCCTGTTACTCCCAATGGAGCATAGGCCGCCGACAAGTTTTCTCCAACCAACTCTGTCCTTGGCTTCCCTCTCCAGTTCTGTCCAATGTTTGTTCATTCCTCTCATATCTTTCTCTGTTTCTCGGAGTAATGTGTTCCTTGGCCTTCCTCTTTTCCTTTTGCCTTGAGGGTTCCATGTGAGGGCTTGTCTAGTGACGCAGTTAGGTGCTTTTCGTAGTGTGTACTATCCACTTCCACCGCTTCTTCCTGATTTCCTCCTCCACTGGAATCTGGTTTGTTCTCTCCCACAGTACGTTGTTGCTGATGGTGTTTGACCAAGGAATCCGAAGTATTTTGCGTAGACAACTGTTAATAAACACTTGTATCTTATGGATGATGGCTTTGGTAGTTCTCCAAGTTTCCGCTCCATACAGTAGAACTGTCTTGACATTTGTATTGAAAACCCTGATTTTGGTTTTGGTTGAAAGTTTTTTGGAGTTCCAGATATTTTTCAACTGTAGAAATGCAGCCCTCGCTTTGCCGATCCGCGCCTACCATCTGCATCGGATCCACCTTGATTGTCGATGATGCTGCCCAGATATGTAAAGGTGTTAACGTCCTCCAAGGCATCTGCATCAAGAGTGATTTGGTTGGCGCAATTTGTGTTGTATCGCAGTATCTTGCTTTTCTCTTTATGTATGTCACGACCCACTGCTTCTGGGGCTGCTGCTACACTGGTCGTTTTCTCTTGTATTTGTTGTTGCGTGTGCGATAGAGGAGCCAGATCATCACCGTAATGACAAATGTCAATAACCTTTAGAATAACTCTCAGGAAGTAAAAACAGTTTTCGAACAATCAAGCTGCATGTGATGTAAATCAATATTTTATTACATAAAAACCGATGTTTAATATTAGGATAGGGATTAAAGGTTTACACTAAGATTTTAAGTTATTAGTGTTAATGAAGAATAATAGTGAATGAATAATTGTACAGTTAACTTTTTGACTCTAAATTTTATTGACTATTCTTCAGTTTCCTCTCTCTATTCAATAGTTTTGTAGTGAATGAGAACACAGGTGGAGGCAACCGAATTGTATTTAACGAAAATTACAGAGTTACTCAGTAAAATCGGAAAACCATATCGTAAATCGTTCATTTGCAAAAGATCAGTTCATCCTATGGAACTGGACTGTTCCTGTTGCCAAACATCAATCCATTGTCACTCTTCATGCGTTTCATACAAATTCCATTGGTTTCTGACTCTTCCTTTCTTGATCTTCACTCCATATTATGCTACCAGACTTTACGTTGACACTCACGCTATATACTACTTATAAGTAGTTCGCACCACAGCACCACACTCGTCCCCCCTTTTAATAAGCTGTCGTCGCAGTCTTTCTGATCTCCGTACAGCCGTCTTCTTCATCAGTGTTTGTGGCTCGCCCTCTTGGCGCACTTGGAACCACCTTTGGAGTTCACTGGCATTCACGCGTTTCTGTTTGTTTCCTTTCTGGATTGTATACACTGCGCCGCGCCTCTCGGTGACGACGTACGGTCCCTCCCACTTCGGGATCAGCTTACCTGACCCTGGCCCTCTTCCTGTGGTATATTTCCGTTCTCTACACTTCACCTGATCTCCCACTTCAAACAATCTCCAGTTCTTTCTCTCCTGTTCTGACTTTTCCATGTCTGATGTTTGTTTCTCCCTCACATTCCTGATTGCTTGTCTCCGCTCTGTTCTCAATCTTGTTGTATTCCATCTCTGTTGTTGCGGCCAGGTTTTATCATGCGTTGGTAGTCTCGGCCGTCTGCCGTACATCAGCTGGAACGGTGACTTCCTGGTTGTTCCCTGTGCCGAGGCACGATGTGCCAGCAAGATTAATGGTAATTCTTTCTCCCAGTCACCCCCTTTAGATGCTAGCCATTCCTTTAGCGTTCGGTTATTCCTTTCCGTTAACCCATTCGTCTGTGGATGATACGGCGTTGTTCGTACTCTCTTGATACCTAACTGCTTCAGACGGGACTTGAACTCATCACTCTCGAAACAGGGACCTTGATCGGTTAATATTATCTTTGGTATCCCATGGTCAGCCACAATGTGCCGCATTACCGCTTCCATCACCGTCCTTGCACGTTGGTCCGCCATCGGCACGGCACTTACCCATCGTGTGGCATGCTCAGTCATCACCAGCAGGTACTGGTTACCACTTGTCGTCTGCGGGAACGGTCCCATAACATCTACTGACCACAAATCACCAACTGCTGTTACTGGAATTGACTGCAATGGCGGTCGTATGCATCGATCTCCTTTCATTAGTTGACATCGCTGGCACGCTAATACATATCGTGCAACATCGTCTCTCATACCTGGCCAGTACGCACTTTGTCGCAGCAAATCAGTTGTTCGTGCAATACCTGTATGCGCTACCTGGTGACATTCACGAATCATCTCCTGGCGCAGATCTTTTGGGATTATTGCTACCCAATTCTCGTCATCATCCCGCCAGGTCAAGGCTCCGTATCCGTTCACTCTCAGTCTCTCCTTCTGCCTCAGCAACACTGTTAATTCTTTATCTGTTCTACTCTTGTCAACATCTTCTCCCTCTTTTATCACTCTGATTACCTCCCGAAGGTTAGGGTCGGCTTTCTGATGTCGGACGAGTTCTAGGGGGTCTCCCTCTAGGCCGTTAACTGCACACGCTATCTCTGGAAGTTCGGCTTCGGTGTCCGGTCTTGACAGTTTTAGGAATCTGAAGAAATAAAAATTGGTGGATTTTTACTCAGCTTTTAATTCAAGATAAACTATTCATTGTGAGAAGAGTATTTACAGTCTGTGGATGAACTTGAAATAAGCACAACTAATTTTCTGGTAGTTTTAGGTTAACTAGAAAAAAAATGAACAGCCTTTTGTGCAGTTAAAAATAGTTTTTGTGAAAAAAAAAACAATTCTATTACAAAATCTAGGCAGATGTTGAATGATTCAATGAATAAATTTCATCAATAACTTTTGATCCATTTCGAATTTCAGTACTGAATCGAGTCTTCTAGTAATGAGAAGTGATTAACAGTCATAATTTATTATTATCATTTACAATATAAATATTAAAGCAAAAACTGAACAGTAATGATTAGTTTTATTTGCATGCTTTAGGTTGTCGCCACAATGACTGCAACAAAAGGACGTTATCGTCGATTTTCAGTGGTTGTTGCAACTGGTAATGGACAAGGTTTATGTGGTATTGGTAAAGCAAGAGCTTTAAATATAATGTCCGCTGTTCGACGTGCTAAATCACGTGCTGCACAGAATATTGTGTCATTTGAACTTAAAGAAGGAAGAACATGTATGTTTTGTAGATTTTCACATATGTATATATTTTTTTTGCATTATAGTTTTATGGAGATCGTTGTTGTACAACGAAATCATGAATTAACCATTGTAGACCTAAAAGCACTGAACGATGTTTTCGTCCTAGGATGGGAGTGATCAGCACTGCACATCCACGACTCCTGCCATTGCATAGGATTGGAACCCAGGACCTTCGGTCTTACGCACGAACGCATAACATCTGGGCCTCTGGATGCGCACTGCTCATGATTCCCATACCAAGATGAGACTGCCGTTCAAGGCTTCCAGGTGTCTGATGGTGGTCTAATAATGATTCAGTCATGATTTCAATATATATATATATATATATATAGGCTTAACATAGTAGACGACTTCAGCAATCATTGCCACGCTCTCACACTTTCTCTATATACTTCATAGCCATCAATATAACACTTGTTTCACGTAATAGGGGCTGCTTTTATTCAAAATTCATCGCTTCTATATCTTCCAACGTTTTTTGCGTTTCTTGTATGTATTTCACTAAATTTTTCATCAAAGATTTAACATATATTGTGGTGCACGCTACTTACAAGTAGTATATGACGCGAGTGAAAACGTAATGTCTGGCAGCAGAAGATGGGGGAAGATCAGGAAAGGAAGAGTGGGTACACAGTGAAATTTGTATGAAACACATGGACAGTGAAGTGTCAGACAATGGATTGATGTTTTGCAAATTAACGGTTTACGATATGGTTTTCCTATTTTACTGAGTAACTCTGTAATTTGCGATAAGTACAATTCGGTTGCCCTCACCTGTGTTCTCCTTCACTACAATATTAGTATTAGATAGACTGTATAATATAATTCTTATATGAATCTGGGCATTTCACTTCTATTCACACTTTCCGACATCTCATTGTTCATCAGCGTGGATGTAAGATTTTCTAGTTATATGTATGCTATAACACATTTTTCAATCTTATTTATCATCTGTGTTAATCCGATGTTGCATTACTTTACACTAATTGAAGTTTCCAACCTAACTATCCAAGTGGTCCGTTAACTCATAAGATCACCAATATTCAATTATCGGTTATTCTTTCACATTTCCTATTATCAGCCTTTATATATTACTGTTATTCAGTAGGACAAGCTATTGGTTAAAACGAATAGATTAATCTCAATATGCATCAGCGTAATTTATAAGCATGTCCCGTGTTCTAAAGTCAAAAATAACTGTCATCAACAATTGAACGGAGACACAACGAGCATAAAACTGTAGAATATATTGTTGAGTTTAGACAAAGATTTAAGGGATACACAACAACTGAAGATTAGTGTTACTACTAGGGTTAGGAGGGACTGTATCATTACAGTAACAAATAAAGTGAATGTTATTACTTTATGTAAATACTTAAGAATATTACTCAATAGACCAATCCCTAGTTAAATCATACGTTCAAAAATTATTGTCGATGAAATTGGTTATTGAATATTAATAAGTAGTATAAGGTAGTACACACAATAGGAATCAAATTAGAAGAGAAACAGAGTAAATACGGACGAAGTTAATAGTACTCGTATTTTATACAGTAGTCCTATCGCTTTGATGATCCCTCTAAAAATCATTGCAGATACTAGCATCAATTGTTATTTACATTTTATTTAAACAGAGTTACTTTTTTTCAAATTTAAAAGTTGTAAAATGTGTTTTTACAATCTCAAAAAATTCACTTAGTAGTGTGATTATAAAACCGAATTTTGTATATTATTAGTCGAAGATAGGTATATATATATGTATATAAACATTAGTATAAAGCGGAATCTAAATATTTATGCACCACACAAACTAATTTGTGTGAGTTGGGATACTGCCCGGGTGCCAAAGCCGAAACAGGTGGTTTTCTTAGGAGGTGGTCACTCCTCGAGCATCTCACCGAAATTTCTAATTTACAAGACTGAAGCAACTCCAAGAGATGCAATCCCATGGTAGCCGGTGACCAATAGTAGCTTCATTTACCATTCGTTCTCTCAGGAACGTGGATCGCATGTGCATCGTTAGTTTGAAATTAGGGTTTTCCCAAACTACCTTACGTGGATCATCCTTTTACACCAATCTGGTTTAAACATCGAACATCCGGTTTTAATCCTCTTATTTTCGTAAACAACACCTGTGGCGCGAGACGGTAATCAGTAGAACTTCCCTGACAGTGGCTATACACGCGTGGACATACATGAGCGTTTCGAGGTGGAGAGCGAACTCTCTCCATTCTTGAACATACCTGGGGTATTTAGGGATATATATATATATATATAATTCATTAGAAAGAAAATTAAACCATTAACACTGCATATCATATTTTTATTAATTTTTTCCATAATTAATAATATTTCTTTATTCATCACTTACAGTATGGCATGTTGGATATGTTTGTCAGTGGAACAGTAAAATTTTTGCAACTCCTCTACCGGAAGGTGAGCTAATAAACTCTTTAGTGTTTTTAAACCATGTAGCAATAATAACAATAATAATCTCTCAAAAATTATTGAATTAAACTAATTGTACTTATGTACACTTTTTGTGTGTGCAAAGAATGTGAACTCAGGTGAACACTCATAGACTAAACTACCCTGATTAAAGTTAACAAGTAAGTGTAATAAACTTAGGTTAAAAATAAAAACTAAGGTCGATCCGTTCCAATGTAAAGAGTTTTCACTTTTATCAATATAAAATTAAACTACAGTAGGCTATTTACTACTGGCCATCATTCTCAACCATGTTTGATAACATCTCGTACCACTGAGTTGCACTGTCTCTAGGATCTCAGCTAGGAAGTCGTAAAGAATGAATTAACTTCAGTCTGACACGGCTTTCTTTTATACTCTAACAACAAGTCATAAAATGACTTTCTTTTCACTTTTCCTACCCAGTCCTAATGTTTTCACTTAACGCACGATGTCGAAGACAGCCAGCGTAACAGTTTTCGTAACACATGTTCAATCCATCGAAACTATAGTTCCGAAATCAAGGCTACACTAATTCATTTGTCGTTACTGAACTTCTGCATTACTAACATGTTAGTTGTACTGAATGTCAGCAATCCCACAATAATAATCGAACACAAAATGTTATGAAACATCATTGACTTGAAGAAGCCAGGTTGGATAAGCATAGAGCACAACTGCTCTCAACGATGTATGGTTGATTCATGATTTCAAAAAATATTCACATGGAACTGTATTTTTTCCCTCTGATACTGATTCCATAATTCGATTTCAATCCTTACACTAAATTGAAACATTTCCTCTAATAACTTTTCCTAATAAATTCTAAATTAAATGTCAGTTCATGATTTGAATCACCTCTTCTATCATCGGTGTCTCCGAAGCATTGCTCGAGTATCGTGGGACAACTGTATCACCAATGCTGTCGTTAGGAAACGAGTTCTAGGTAGGGATGGCAAATCAATAGACAAAGTATTGAAACTTCATCAGTTGAGGTGGTTGGGACATGTGTTACGTTTGTCTAACCACCGACTGCCGCGACGACCTATGTTTTATGATGTAGGAGTAGGTTGGAAGAAATCTAGGGGCGGCCAAACCGAAACATGGCAGAAATCCATGAAGTCACTGACAAGTGCACTGAGTCATGTTGGTAGATATAGACTACCTGGTTGGGGTCCGCGAGACGAAAGTCACCAATGGTTAGAGACCTTGAACGACATGGCTTAGAATCGTTTGCGATGGCGCAGATGCATCCACTCTTTGTGTTCTCTCTAATGCTAACCTTCTGAATTCCTCATAATATCTGTCCTTCTCCTTCTAAATTTATCTCACCGAATTATACTTCTCGAATTATTTCTTCGCTGCCTAATCGTCTCGATTACTGCTAATACTTCTACTATCTCTGCTACTATGGGATTTGAACTGACAGTTGCGTCTCTGTGCTGATGTGGTATGGCAACCTAAACTGATGTACTTACGTACGAAATTGTGTGTTGTATCTGTCTGTCTGTCTTATTATTCAGTTTTAAATGGTTCATAGGTGGCCCACCATCATTTGTCAACCTACTCTGTCCTGGGCCTTGCTTTCTAGTTCTGTCCGATTCTTATTCACTCTTTCCATATCTGTCTCTAATTCTCGGTGTAGTGTGTTATTTGGTCTTCCTCTTCTCATTTGGCCTTGAGTATTGCAAGTGACGGCACGTCTTTTGACGCAGTTGGGTGCTTTCCTCCATGTTTGTCCTATCCAACTCCAGCGCTTCATCCTAATCTCTTCCTCCGCTGGTTTGTTCTCTCTCACAGTAGGTTGTTGCCGATGATGTCTGGCCAACGGCTCATCAGTATCTTACGTAGACAACTGTTAATAAATACTTGTTTCTTCTGGATGATGACTTTGGTAGCTTTTCAAGTTTCCACCCCATACAATAGAACCGTCTTGACGTTTGTTTTGAAAATTCTGACTTTGGTGTTAGTTGATAGTTGTTCTACGTTGAAGAAATACTGCCCTTGCTCTGCTAATCCGTGCCTTCACATACTAATGTTAGAAAGGATAAGTTTAAGTATTTTCAGGCGAACAGTGGATATGTGTAAATTTGTACCATTACAATCGATTGATTTTGACGTACGACATCATCCAACACCTCAAACCGTTGTTTATAAAATAATCGTACAAATCTCAACTGCTTCAACGCGATATAATTATTAGTTAATGTAATGTTTAGATTTAAACAATTTCTCTATAAATAAACTATTACATAATTATGAATGTTGATTTGTGTTTTTATACAGGTACTGGTTTAAAATGTCATCGTATGATTAAAACTTTATGTCAAGTTATTGGAATTAAAGATATGTATGCTAAAGTTGAAGGTAGTACAACAAATTATCAAGCAATAGCCAGAGGTTTCTTACGCTTATTAGGTCAACAGGTATGTAAATTAAAGTTAGATAACTTTTTATTTTGTAATTTAGTTGTCTAGTGATAAGCTACCGGGTAGAAAAGGGTTGTTACAGAAAAATTACTACATTATGAGCTTCATCTAGCATATCTATATAAGCACATAAACAGTGGTACAAAGGGGAACCTATATATTCATGCGCCACACAAATCAATGGGTTTGTGCGCGGACTGGGCTAATAATGCCTGTGTGCCCAAACTGAAATAGGTAGTCTTCTTAGAGGACCAAGAGATCTACAAGGTGACGGAGCAACGTCAAGAGATGCGGCCTCGTGGTAGTCAGTAACAAACAATAGGTTCACACGTCATTTGTTCTCTCGGAATCCTGCAGTCCATATGCACTATTAGTTTGAAATGAGAGTTTTCTAACTCCCTCAGGTTAATCCTCCATACCCACCAATTCGATTAGAGCACCGAACATTCACTCGACAAGGTGGTAAATATAGGACTTCCCTGAAAGCTGCCATATACGCTTGGTTATACAGAATTTTGAGAGTGAGAGCGATCTCTTCCCATAATACATCATTAATTTGATTGTTTTTAGTGAATTGTAAACACTTGTCAATCATTTTGCATATAAATTAATATTATCATTATTATCGAAACTATTCTTTTAATACATAATATTAGTTGCATCAGCTGTTCAGGTATCATAATATCTATAAGGCATTGACAATGAGACTGTTTCATTATAGATCCTGTCTAAATGTAGTATTTACCGGTAACGGTATATATCATTTGCTTTGTTTTTTCAATAAATTTGTTATTCCATTCCCTTACTCACATACCAACCGATATTCTCTGATACAAATCAGTTTAACGTTTTGACGAAAGACTAAATGAGTAACATTGTAATTAAACTAAGAATATTTGGCAAAGGTTGAAAAATCGGTTGATAAGATTGTAAACGGTTATGATAAGTGTTTAATTACGTCTTGTAGTGGTTTATCTTTGAAATATTTCTTATGCTCCATCTATCATTTGTCCTCATAACCGTTATTAGATAACTTCTAACAATGTATAAATTTCAGAAGGCAATAGGAATTGTTGACTATGGTTTACATATTATATAGCTAGTTCATAATCACAAAATCACAAGCATGAACAAGTATGCGAATGTAAAAGATTACGAGCAAATGTGACGAATGATTCAAGCTACTGATATTTATAGCTAGTAGACTATAACACATGTCTATAGACACGTTGTCATTGTTCCAGTGACACCTATCTGTTAAACAAGTTATTTGAAGGGTTTAACCAAGTTAAATGTACACAGACCCTACTGTAGGTAGGTCAGCTACCATAGCTTAACTAACTAGTCACCTCGACAATGGATGTTTATTGTTATAGAAGAAAGACTTGAATTGAATCCTGATATTCTTTCAGTGCACACTTTTTGGACTAATTGTTCAATTATTTTTCATTATCACTGTTAATACATTATTTCGATCTGTTTTACAATTTATTATTATGTTGCAACTACTTAGATTATGTGAATCATTATAGACATTCTCATTAGGAGCTGTCAGTCCAGGAACTCAATACTATGTTACAGTGAATTGTGTGTGCACTAGGGCAATTTTTCGCCGTTTATGTCAAAAACATTATGTTTTTTCTATTATATACGTACTATACTGTGATGTTTATTTTGTTTTAGAAAACATATGAAGACTTAGCTAACAGTCTAGGACTTCATGTTGTTGAATTTGCTGCTGATCGTGATATGTATCCACATGTCTTAGCGTCCCCTGCGTACGGTCAAACAATTGATTTAAATGACGATATTGTCAATGAACCTGAGTCACAATCTGAAACAGAAAATGAACCTCCCTCATTATTAGTTCAATCAAATCCAATACGCCGTAAACCGCGTAAACCTAGACCTGAACAACATGACAGTTTCTTAGATAATTTAATTGATAATGATGATGACAGAGCTACAGAAGCTAATATTTCAGAGTTATTAGCAGCAGGTGAACGTGATGTAGACACTCTTATGTTGGGAGGACGTGTACGACTGAAAAAGAGCTCAACTCATCATGCTCGAGTAACTGACGCTGCGGTTCTTCGGCGTAGAGCAGAACGTCATCGTTATCGTAACCAACAAGCTGTCAAGCTCGAAAGAAACACTCATGCTGCATTGGCTGTAAATTCGGTATAATTATAAATCTTTGTACATATATTCCTAGCATAAAGTTCTAATGAGCATTGTACTTCATATTTTAACGATTTTGAATGCTAGGTGTCTAGTAATTGTAATTGTGAAGACTTTGCTTCCTTTCAACGGTATGTTCCTGGGGATTTGTTCAGAAATTATGGTGGAGGCCGTTCTCCTGTCCTTGCTATATACTTCCTATCTCAGGTACATATGAAGTCATAGATGCAATTGGAGGTGACGTCCGAAAGGTATTAATCTACCTTTGTATTGTTCAACTACACTTGTTCTTGTATAGCAAAACCAAATGATCATTAGTGAAGCTTATTTTTGATGCCACATTGACTCTTCCTGAAATATCGTCTCTCTTGATTAGAAGGCAGATGCGGACAAGCCTTTTTCCAACAGTTGGTTGTTTATCGTTCTTGAGATGTTCCTTCTCGTATTCCGTAATGAATTTCTTCGGGTATCTATTTTTCAAGATGGTACTTTCCTAGAGTAACCGCTTCTTCATGTATTTTTGCAGTTTAGCATAACATTCTACCTTTATCGGAAAGTGTTTTGACTTGACATATTTTACCCTCTCAGTTACAAAAGTGATCATACCTAAGACCTTCAGGTCTTGCATCGAACCTACACTAAAAATACTTGGCATTCGTATATATATCAATCTAATATGTTCTAGGCAGAACTGATATGTACTATCACATACACAACAAAACTGGGGCCTTTCTTCTTGATAAATTTGTTTTAGCAGTCTACTTCCTAAATTTAGGTTTATTCCTGTATTTTGATCATGAATAATTAGCTACCCTAATTTATTTATTTGACCTTATAGATATTGCATGATATTCGATCGAGTCTTTCAACCATAAAAGCCCTTTACTCTGATTGAGTGTTTAAAATTGAATACTAGTCTTGTCACCAATTCTATGTGGGATATTTTATATACTTTTTATGTGCCAAAAATTAGGAGCTTTGAATCAAGTCGTAGCTATGTCCCAATGACCGTCTCCTTTCGTGCGTTCCTCAGAACTACTAAGTCAACTAAGGACAAGAATCCAACAGTTCTTTTACATGTGTAATTCCCCAGTACGTTTTCGGACTAACCAATAAGACGTGTCTATGTAGGCATTTTTCAATTTGATCACTAAACATTAGTGATGCATGAAGCAAGATCCATGAACATCATAAAATAAGACGGTTTTCTGGGATTACTAACTCATAATTTTACCCGCGTTATTTTGTAATGCATAAGAAACTAACTATATTTGACAGCTTTTTCAATTAGCAGGTCAGTTGCATTGCATCTCTTATGGGATTTGACTAAGAAATGTTAAAGTTGTGTGTATGTGAACATTGGTTCAAGTTGTTATTCCTACCAATAAAGAGAGGTAAAATTGTCGTAGTGAAACCCAGAGTAGTTAGAGGCAGCTACAAGATAAAAATAATAGGAAAGATTAAGTACGTATGATACTATTGAAGAAAACGAAGTCAATGAAATCATGAAAACAATCATGAGGAACATAGAAATTAGGAATGTAAGAGAAAGCAAAACGTAAATCCACCTATGCCACTGCGGACGTTTTCAAAATCTGTAGCCATTGGTTACGCTAATCCTCATGCGGACCCCAATAAGGTAGTTTGCACCTACATACATGGATCATTTTGATTCCATCAATCGACATCAACGTAAAACTTCGTACGTACATTAGTTTAAGTTGACATACCACATTAGCACAGAGATGAAATTGTCAATCCAAATCCCATAGTAGTAGCAGTACTAGAGGTAATAGCAGTAATCGGAGAGATTAGAGTTCGAAGATATTATTCAAGAAGTAGAATCTAGCGAAATAAACTTAAAAAGAGAAAGATAAAGTGATGCGGAATTCAGAAGGTTAGGATTTGACAGAACATAGTGAATGAATGCACCTGCGTCATTGCAAGCGGTTTTGAGCCATGTCATTCAGGGTCTCTAACCATCGATTACTATCGTCTCGTGGACCCCAATCAGCTATATACACTTACCAACATGGCTCAGTCCACTTGTCAGAGACTTCATGGATTCGTGGTATGTTTTGGTCTGGCTGCCCCTAGCTTTCTTCCAACCTCCTGCACCACAAAACATCGCTCATCGAGGCAGTCAGTGGTTGGGCATTCGTAACACATGTCCCAACCACCTAAACTGATGAAATTTCACTACTTCATCAACTGATCTGCTATCCTTACCTAGTACGCGTTTCCTAACAACAGCATTGCTCACTCGGTTGTCCCAGGATATACGAGCAATACTTCGGAGACAATTATGATCGAAAATTAGCAACGTACGAATATCTTCTACTCTGACTTGCTATGTTTCGCAGCCATATAGGAGAACGGAGCGAACTGCTACACGGAACACTTTACTTTAGTCAGCAAACTGATATCTCGCCTTCACTATAAGTGACAAAACTTGGCAAAAGCCAATCGAGCCTTCTGTATCCGTGCTGAGATTTCGTCAGTCACCAGGCCATCGGCTCCGATGAGACTCCCTAGATAAGTGAAGCGGTCGACTAGTTCAGGTGCCGATGAAACCTAATTATGGAGCAACATTTTGCATTTCGACGGCGAGAATCGCATCCCGAACATGCTTGCATTGTTGCTTGGGGTAGTCAAAAGAATCTACATTTTGTCAGCGTATTCACCGAATAGAACTATGTCATCGGCATATTCTAGGCCAACAAGCGAGACTCCTGGTAGGTCAGCTCCTGAAAATCCAGAAGAAAATAACGTTATATCTAGAAGCAGGTCTGTGACAAAATTAAACAAGAATGTAGAGAGTGGACATCCCTGACGGACACCATTTGAAGTAAAGAATTCCGGTGACATTTTGCCATAAGCTCTCACCCGACCAGTAGTGTTCGAGTAGAGTGCTTGTATAAGGTTAATGTACTTCTTTGGTACACCTTTCAATGACAAACACTGCCAGAGAACCTCATGATCAACAGAGTTGAATGCCGCTTTTAGGTCCAGGAAGACAACTATTGTAGGAAGCCTAAATGTATGTCTGTGTTCCAGGACCTGTCTTAGTGTGAATATGCGGTCTAAATAGCCACGCCTGGTTTTCTGAAGTCTGCTCTTCACCAGCTCTAGTTAAGCGTTTAAGAATAATTGTGGCTAACAATTTATAAACTATATTAGTTAGACTTATTCTCCTATGACTGTAAGAAGAAGACTTTTGTCCTTTCTTATGAATTAGGACAATCAAGGATTGGGACCATTCAGATGGGAGTGTCCAGTTTTCAGATTCTACCTAAGATCTCAGTCAATCTAGCTGCTCAAGCTGGACCACCATCCTTAAAAATCCCAGGGGTCAATCTATCAGGGCCCGCTGCTCTCCCTCGCTTCAGATTTGCTATCGTTGTCTCAACTTCATGAAGTGTCGGGGGACTTACGTCGATTTGCCATTCATGATAACTGGAGGTCGTGGGCAACCGAAGTGTGGCTGAAGGCCAACTGAACTGGTCCCTAAAGTGTTCTGTCCATCGGTACAATCTCCTGGATTGAGAATGGATTATAAGACCATCCTTTTCCGAGATAGTTTCACTTACATCCGGGTTCCTAATACCGGTTTCCTTGCCTTTTCCATTTCTCTCGCTTTCGCTACTGACCACTGTTCACGATCATTGAGTAGGCTTTTTGTCAGCTGACTCCGCTCCTCATTGTACTCGGAGCCAGGAGGGATGAGCTTTCGAGCATCCATCAGTTCGGTAGATGCTACCGAAATCCACGGCTTCTCACTAACCTTATGTTTTACCTTACTAGAAGATTCCAGTGATGTTTCTACAGCTTTTTTGATATCATTACAAGCTACCTCAGGGTGGGCATCACTTACTACATGGCTGTTCAACTGTTTATCTGGTTGTTCCTGAAATACACCCTATGCTTTATTATCATTGAGTAGAGCCGTAAGACATTTTTCCTACGTCCAGTAAGAGGCAGTCGCACCTTGTTAATTGCTATAATACATACGTGTTAATCTGACTGATAACATGATTTCGATTTAAGGTATCGAGTATCTGTAACAATCGTGTTATGTACGTCATTGAATTGTCCCTACTGTTTATCCTGCATCAAACGAGCTATACGTCAATACTATTTGATGGAAACAATTATTACGTATATTTGGAAATTTATTAACAAAATGAAAATCAGATAGTATTGTCGTTTGGGAGAATTAAAAAAAGCTTCATGATAAAAAGCATCCAAAATTAATTTATGTACATAATAATTTTGATAATTGCGAATTAAGAAAATCACAATTAACATCATTTAAATGATCATCAAAATCAACAATTTCGTGATGGATATTTGAATAGAGAGTTTCTTCAAGCTTTTTATTGATATTTGGGTTGAATGTGTACCTGAATTAGTAAAGATAACATTTGTTGAAGTGAACTTGCTTTGTTTCGTTCCATTTACAATCGGATTTACAAAATGCTGTGAAGTAATTTCCAGTCAACCGATGTAAAGCATCATTTTTGAACTATAAAAAATTGATTGGTAATCGGATAACTAAAACTTACAGTCAATAAACAAACGTTACCACATTTTTCAGCTAATTTCTCTCCAATTTTGAGTGCAACATTTGTTGGACTATTTTTTCAGTGAAAAATGAATAACAATGAAATTACGTATTACAATTAACGTGTTCATTTGCTTGAAAATAGCCACATATTTGAAGACCTTTATTTGTACAATGTGAGTCTACCTGCCATTCAATTTTAATATACACTAAATTTTGACCTACATGATACAAAGCCGTTTCCAGCATTGGTGTCAAATTTATGGCACTGTGAAATAGAGGGATGTAGTCAGAAATGATTATTTGTGAATCATGATTTTGATCACTTAAAAGGATTCCGTTGACAGAACTCTCTGCATGTTTAGCAGCATGTAAAACCATCTTTAAAAAGGGAAGTTCGCCGATATGTATTGGAGCTGCCATTTCCAAACTAACCTGAAAATTAATGATTGAAATACATCAAAATTGTTGACTTTTAATAGGTGTACATTAGTAAATTATTGATGTGTGTAGATCTATATAAACTTAGACAATATATTTAGTATTTAAAGATTTATTGCAATGTTTTTAGAAAGTAGCAGGAGTAAAAGAATCGATGTTCGTAGACGTCTTCTACATCTGGATTTCGATTATATCACGTTTTATCATTGCTTAAAATGATGCTTAGTGATGCTGTTCCCAAATTGTTAAAGGGATGGGTGTTGAAATTATTGCTTTTTTAAGGAAATAATACCACACCTTGTAATTGAGAGTAGAACTATCAAAGCAATAACCATAAATACTGTATTTTTTTAATAATATCAAGTCAATAATTTTGATAAAGAACTGATTATCACAAAACTGACACTAACTAGATATCCATTATTGCTTCCAAGTCGGTTTAAACATTCCATAGCCCTTGAAGCTCATTTCTGTCCCGAAATTCATATTGACAACACCTCACAAAACAAGACGGAGTCGAATATCAATAACATATAAATAGTACAATCAAGCTGATCATCTTTGAGGCAAAAAAGCTGCAAATCAATGCTTTTTCGCACTAAAACTCGGTTGGTTGACGTTCCGAGTTATTTATTTTCCATGTCAAGCAACCACTTGCAAAAAATATGCAGCGCTAACTAGCGGTGGCTTTAAGTAAACCTTACTCGGTATCGATCTGTGTAACGAGTGCTCGTTTCATTTGTGAGTTAGACGTTTTGGAACAGTATATGACATGGGGGCATTTTATTTAACAGTAAAAAGTCCCATTGCTACCACAGTTTTCATGTCTATTCTTGCTATAGATACAAAAAGCTTGTACTTTACATCGGGGTCTTCAAGAACAATTGTCTTCTCCATTCTTTATATAAAGATCTCGACCAAATTAACCTACTTCAAATACACTGTTGGATCGGCTTTGCTTTGAAATCCGATTTAGCTTGAAGCCTTTTGTTGCATCACATGATACCAGCACGTACATATATCTTGAAATCATTTATAAGGACTACAATGCTTCAAACCATTAGATCAGTCAAAATCAAAGCAAAGATTGTTACGAACGGGAATTTACCCAAGTCACCAAACTGCATTAGCATGAGATCAAATTAAAAAAGTTAGTGAATGAATCAAACTAATTGAGTAGCAACGATCATGAGGAAGCAATGAGAGTATAGTCCGGATTGATAGGTGCCTATACCTTAGGTCAAACGTAAGTTGAGTTGATTTGGATTCTTTTCTTTGATTTAGGTAGTTGTCACCACCCTAACCAGTAAACGCTGGAATACTAATGCCATGTTGACTTTTTCCTATACTGAGTTAACTTACAAGTGTTTTTTATAAATACTCTACATGTTTTAGACTGGCTTCATGCGTGTTGATATTTTTTATCATTCAGAGTGCCAATACAGTTTGCAATTTTAGTTCGCATCAGAGTGATTATAATTTTCATAGCAACAGACTCCTAATAAAGACAGATGTTCAGGAAGACTAAAATAGCTTTTTTACATACCAACTACTAGTCGTAAAAACTCTGTGGACATCCAAGAGGCTATTATATCCATGAACATCGGAGAGAAAAAGGTTCATGACTGCTGACAGGCCGCAGTAACTTAAGAGTGGAGGTAATTTAGCCTGTTAATATATTTCTCAGACTTTATAGACTTTTAGCTTTAGTGATGCCAACTTAGAAGTTATTCCCTACCACCTACTTAGCACAATTTTCGAGAAAAATGTGACATTTAGCTGAGAATTTATATCGGCATGAGGTTTCTGTACAAAATTCCTGCTGACTTCGAAGTTCCTACGTGAAATCCCTTGATCTTAACCTGCCTCATGTGCTGGGTTCAAGGAATAAAAGTAAAAAATTGAACCGGGTGAAAAAATTAGTTATTCCGAAGTAGATCCTAATACATCCCTCTAACGAGAAAGGCCGTAACGACCGGAACAGATCTTCATTAGTTTTTAGATTATTTCAAATCAGAATTCAAAAAAGTTAGTGATACATCTTCTAACAATAATTGAATTTTCTTGCTGATCCATCATCCAGGGGACATATTTCAAAAACCAGGAACAGAAGGCTTAAATTTCGAGGTTTTATCCCGTATAAATTAAATAGACATCTCCTATCGGCACTCAAGAGCTAAAATCTTTGAGGTATTCACAAATTAAAGTATGGGCTCACATTTAACTTAAAAACTTCACATTCCTTAAAAATTACAAGGCAAAACACTAACTATCGACTGCAGCGACGTAATTTAACTGTTTAGTGATTTTCAATATCCAATTTTTGGTAAGGTTCTTTCCTGAACTATTATGAATTAACTGACTTATTATACGATACCTAATGTCTCTGGAGACTTCGCCACCATACACTATATATTGCGTCTTTGCCTAATATGCAAACAGATCTTACGAGAAGCAAACGAGTTTCTTTAGTATCGACTGGTAGCATTCTGTCATTCCTACCTACGGTACACGACAGCTAACGATCAACCTCAGTAATCTGCGACAGTATCTGTGGACGTTCATCCCTGCTGATTTTAAAATAGCCGTACTCAGTATCGATTACTTATAGCTCTATAAATTGCTATTCCATTCACGTAGACTGCAGTTAATCGATACTTCATCGAATGTTAAGTCCAAGGGTTTTAACGGTCCAACAGATGTGTATCGAATCGCTGCGTTTCTTTTTGCATGATTGTTTGTTTCATGTTATATTTGATAAATTCTCCAAAGCAACTAAATCGATGGGATTCTATCGAGATTATTTATGTGGTAAGCCACATTGTCACCTACATACCCTCAGTCACGGCAAAAGTTCGACGACTGGCACTGGACAAATCGGTTTTCGCTAAGCGTGAGTTCGACGATTTACTCTTTATATGTGTTATTTCGTTCTTCTCACAGTCCTCGCGCCTTCTCCTCCCATTCGGTTTGCAAAAAAGATGGCATATTTTGGAGACCTACAGGCGATTACATAGCAGCAACGGCAGATATTCAGGGTTCCGCCTCTGGACTTGTATGCTTTACGATATTGCATTCGCCCGGGGGAGGGGTTTCACACCATAGAGCAGCGATTTTATGTATATCAGATGACGTCCGACAACTCTCTGCGTAGATGTGAACACTGCCTTCGGTGTCAACTCGAATACAGAACCGACGGTCTCTGTTCCTTGAGAGTCATTTCCTTTTATTTATGTTCTCATACGAGTAGGTTAGGTACACAAATCTTTGTAACAGCCTTGCGAGGAAAATTTTAACGTGATATCTCATCACGAAAAGACCTTCAGGGTTAATCGACACTGTCAGCATTCTCGTCTTAAGGCAGCACACGTGGATGACAGTGCCCTACCCGATAAATCGAGATTGAATGCTAGATCCGTCCACATCACTAGCGGGATCCCTATTTATCCTTCCGATCCCACGCTAGATACCTCATAGTCCTCATTCTCACGTCCAAGTCAACAGCAAGTTTCATCTGAACTATCTACGGATGAGACTTCGCTCCCATGTTCAGGCCATCAGACCACGCAGCCCTTGGCTTCGGATAAGATTGTAGTCTATAGTTACCAAGAATGAGGTACGAACGGGACTACCATCTCAAATTCTGGTCGTCAAGAGCATCTCCCTGCACGTTTTCGTGACCATTCTCGGTAAGCAACGTATAGGGTTTAGGATTATACCCCTTACTTGCTTGCCACACCTTTTTCTCTTTCTTTGATTTTTTTATCCTGAGCACACGCTTTCGACCATCGCCCAGTTTGTACCGTCGACTCACGTCAATCTTGGCGAACACTGGACGGATCACTTACGCTCTTACCAACGCGCTTTGTCGATATTTTGGTTCCGAATATATCTGGCATACGTACGATCTCGAACTTGGTCGTTACGGTCGTTTCTGTACCTTTATCAGCAAAGGATCGGTGACGACTCGGACATCATGGATTGCTTTCTATTCGAAAAAGCTTACGACCTGCCATCTCACGTTTTTCCGATCAGTCCCACGAACGAAGCCGCTAGGTATCAAAAGTGTAAACCCTTTCTAGTGGGGGGCTGCTGCAGCAAATCCACTTTTATAAAGATAATGCGATTGGTTTAATAGAAATATTCATTATTATAACCAATTTTACCAGTGATTGTTTAAATGTACGTTTTGTTTACAGCCCTCTGTACGCGCAAACTTCCTGTTTGTGTTGCTTTCATTCTCTGCTGTGTAGCCCTGTATATGTGCCCCACTTTCCTTGCTCGATTTCGGTGTTCTTTCGACACAACGAAATCGCAAGCAAACATATTCTCTACTATGGAACAACTCTTCTTCTCAGTGACGGTCTCCTGATAGGTATTTAGTGGTGATCATAGTCATTCGCTACCCGATTGCCACTAAAAGTCCATCATAAGAATCCTGTTTGATGATGAATCTCGTAGGCATATCATACTGTCAGAGAGGTCTCCATTGTGTCACTCTGTCCACGCTGTCGAATGCTTTCTCATAGTCAATCATGTTGATGTACAGTGGTGAATTCTATTCAACCGATTGTCTCACAATGACCCTAACTGAAATTTGTCCGTTATATGATTAATCCTTACGTAATCCAGCCTGTTGATCTCGAAATATAATGTCTGCTGAATCTACCATGCTGTTCAACAACAATTTTCAGTACTTTTTTCCGTATTGAAGATATACTGGATGTACGATCTCTATCCAAAATAATCTGAGTAGTGAAGTCTACTTTATGCGTGTAAAGTAGGTTGAACAGAAGCTCAGCTTGTTATTCAGTATGATTTTTACCGCACTCTGTGGCCTATAATAAAGCTAGACAAATACTTTGGTAGAAGTCTGATTGACTACTGACGGTCACTCTGAGGGTGCTTGAGGAGACAAAAAGAAGCAAAAGTCGTTTTACAGATGAATATAAATATCTCGCCAGCTTAGTGGATATTTTATGTATTCGCAACCAGATACCATGTAGAGTTTTGACTGCAATGTAGGGCAAGTGCTACAATATATATTAACAAAAAAAGGTGGAGCAAAACAAACAGTAGACAGTACATAGTTTTAGACACAGTACCATTTAAAATATCAGTAGATTCGTGGAAAAAGTCTATCTTATGTTGGAGGACTCCTAAGCATCTATTTATGAAACTAAATTCACGGCAAAACTACAGACGCCTAAGTTGACGGGAAATGAATGTAATTTCAATCTTCAGCATCCTCCCTTAAAGCCATGTAAGAAATTTTGTGCTCGGAAGTATTGAGGGGAATGTGCTTGCGGCATGCGGATACACGTAACGTTAGTTCACTGTAATGTGGCATGCCAAATATGAACAATTACAACTCAAGTGCCGAATATCTATTCGTGAAATGCATGTGTCGTGCTTTCATACATTGTATGACCCATGAATTCCAACTAAGGCAAAAAGGAACCGAGATAATAAGCTAGTTAGAATAAGTTAATGACAAAAATAATAACTGGCAAGTCGGTGCAAGAGATGACAGTCCTTACATGAGTAAGAGTTTACCCCGTCTCATCTAGAAACTGTTCATTGGGTGGCTGTGTTTAGTTCGGCAAGCAGGACATTCCCAGACTAAACATCTGTTGATCACGAACCTCGGTGTTTGCTCTCTGATATGCAAATTTTCGAGAGTTACGGTTAGCCACATTGTGGTGATTTTCTGGCAGAATGCTCGAATTTAAGTGACTCAACGTACTATATATGTTGTAGGCCATTTTTAGACCACCTCTAATTCTCCTAAACCTCAGTGGGAATAGTTTAGAGTGTTGAAATTCATTTTCTTAAGGTTTATCCTTCAATCCTATCACTCGTAATTTAGATCGTCACTAAACTCGTCCTATGAATGAGTAAAATGAGAATTTGAGTGTTTGTCAAAATGCATTCATGATTATGTACCACTTTTGGCGAGGTGGCAAATTTTCATCACCACATCATTGATGCATAGGAGACGGTTTTGTCCACCAACAACAGTTGCCGTTAACGCATCTCTGCGGAGGGTTTCCCCCGAATGTTTGTGACGGAAGGTTCAGTGAAAGGGAGACTTCACGGTTTCCCTCACTTTTCAGAAGATTGATCATGGGTGTTGTAGTGTCAAAACCGATTCATCTTGTCTTTTTTCTCGCAGTCTAGAGACATGTCTTTCGAGATCGGCATTGCAGAGTAGTTTTTGATTGTTTGCGATTATGCTGAAGATTTAGTAGGCTTCTGGTTGTATTACAGAGGTCTGTAATTTGGTTTCGGTTTGATTAAGGTGTCTGCTGAATGGAAGAAACCCTTGAGCTGGAGGTTCTGGTTAATTTTAGAATCCGATCAGCAGATGTAGCGAGTTATTCTATGGCTATGTTATGGAATGAGACGAGGATAGTGTGCATGTGGATTCAGTCAGTTACAGCGTAGAAAATCGTACGTATGTATATCATTTCAAGTTGCCCTACCACATTACCAAGTTGACACAATCGTCCATGGCACTATTTATTTATGTGGGGGGGGGGTGATTATTTTGGCTAAAACGATTTGTCTTACGTCTGAAGTTTGCTGGCCAATATCTTCCCACATTCGTAAAACATCTTTTTTACAAAACAGGGTTCTAGTGTCAGCAAACTAGACAAATATACAGAAATACTTAAAATTGATTAGCGTAGATACCGAAATTTTTTGGAAATGTTTATCAAAATTTGTGTCAAAAATGCCTGCCTTAGTTTGAATGATGTGGAGTAAAGGAGCAATTATACTTTCACTCGTAATATTCATACCCATGAAAAATTAGGAAGTGAAAGAAACTTGTGTACTTTGAAAGTTCTTTCCTAATCCTGATGTGGAATTTAAGAAAATACAACAGTTTTAGAGTTCAGTGGATCAAGTGAAGAGAAGAGCTACTAAATGAGTGATTCGGTCGAAAAATAAAACCTTTGAAGATATATTAAATCATTGGGGATTTTTTCTCCCTAAGCGGCAGAAAAGTCGGAGGTGATCTGACTATGGCGTACAACATAAAAGACACGCCAAAACTACCCCAATGAGAGCAAACCTCCGATGAATCTCTACCACTCTCTTCCAGGTAATCCTCGAAAAATTGCCCATCAAAGAGCGAATACTCAGTTTCGTGCACACTTTTTCTCATTGACAGATGTTGCGATTAGGAATGCTATCCCAGCTGGCATGACCATAGCTCCCTCAGTGGACAGCTTTATGAAGAGACTTGATAATCACGTACTCACATACGGATTATCATCTCCTTCATGGACAAGCAGTGC